ACTTAGAATTTTCTCTTGAACAAAAAATATGGAATGAAGTAGATCTCCTGAATGAAATTTTGCAATTTGAACCACTCAAAATATCCAAAAATTGAGCAAGTTATGACTTGTTGAAGTTGGCCAAAAATCATGAAATGACCTATAATCTTTTGCATCCTTAAGGTAACTTCCATCCGTTTTCTTACTTTGCACATAAAAGAAGGAATGAAGTACACATCCTTAAGATCATCATGAAAAAATAATGGGCTCAAGGTGATAAAAATTGACCAAGTTATGACCATTTGAAGTCACATATGGAAAATTGGGGATTCATCTGGGTGACTTGTAATCTTTCTTCTTCACCAAGTTCCTTCCACATGAAAACTCCTTGGAACTTTTGAAGTGATTTGTTGGTAACTCTTTGAAGAGAAGGATGTTTTTGGAATCACTCAAAAATACCAAAAGATGAGCAAGATATGCTCCTTTGAAGTCCAAAACCCTAGCCTCTAGATCAAGAGAATGCTTTGAGGAAATTTGCCATGTTTGAACAAGCTTTTTGTGCCAATATTATTCCTTTGTGAATAGAAGTTGTTGAGGATGATGATGAGGACTCATAGCCACAAAAACCACTTCCATATCTTGAAATTAGAGAGAAATGTGTTATTGTGACCAATAGGAACAAGACCTTGTCCAATCATGATAACTTCTTCCCTTAACCCTTTGTACTTTTGAATCAATTTTGATAACTTTGAAATATGTTGAACCAAAATGAGCCTTGTCATGCCATTTCTTCCAAAATCACTCCAATAGCGAAGTTTGAATTTCTCAAGCTATTGACTAGGGCATGGAAATAAACTCATGAACCCATGAAGCAACTTGCTAAACCTCATTGCCTTTACCTACATTATTAACAAGTAAGACAAACCAATATTGTATTTTATTAATTAGAGAGAAAATCAAAGCAAAATATCCATGATCACAAAAGAAAACAAGTCAAGGTGCTTGGTAACTCCTCAAAAGAGCAAGGCTAAAGATAGGGAGAAGAACCAAAAACCATAATGTTATCTTATTGTGATTGAAACAATATGGTATGATGCAGGAATCTCAGGGGGAAAAATTGGGGTACAACATTTCCGTATCAGCAATAATGGAATCAATGCTATAAAAGATGCTGACAGTGATGGTGATTTTGACAATTGGATCTTTCCTACCATTGGCAACAGACTCAACAATTGGGAAGCATAAGACATTTTCCTTATCTCTTTCAGCTAGGAGTAATAGCTATTTCTGTTTTTATCACTTTAAGAAGTTTGGTTATGTAATTTCTTTTAAAACAATAATTTTAAACCTTGTGTCTTGCTCAGGAAACAATGGTTCATTTGTTAAGGGTTGTCATTTCATATGTCATATTTTCATTTAATGAAAACATTGGACTTTTTGCATTCCAATTTTAGGCTCTATGTCTTTTTTTTTACTTTATTACACTTTCAAATAGCTATGTGTTCTTACACACACCCACACACTACATTACAGATCCCCATCTGCTCTGGATCTCGTTGATAACGATTGCGCTATTGTCGCTTATAACTTTGAAAATACAATCTACCACGCTGAAGATGAAGGTGAGGAAGATTGTGAAATACCTAGATAACTTATCACACTCTTAATACAAGAAGCAAAGGCTATCCAACACCACGAAGATCCAATCGAAGTGGTAAACTTAGGTTCTGAGACAAATAGGAAAGAGGTCAAGGTAGGTGCCAACTTAGAGGGCGGTGTCAAGAACATATTAATTTAGATGTCGCATGATTATGTTGGGCTATTTTCTTAGTGTTATACCCCCAAAATTTTCCCTCCCATTTTTACTCAAGACATGCTCATTGAGGTCCTCAATTGCTCCAAGTTGACCAAAGAATTGATCATACAAATTCTCCTCTTAAGCAATGAACCTCCAACTAGGGTTTCACTTTTCACCAAGATGTTTGGGTTGCAAAGGCTCCAAATGATTTCCATGGTCCCTAATATGTCTTCAAGAATTTCCACGCCAATTTCATGCCTTACACTACAAGTTTGCTCAATCAATTGCTCAAGTGTTTGAAAATCAACTATACTAGGCAAAGTCAACTAAACTTTGACCATGCATAACTTTCAAATACTTCATCCATTTTTCCCAAACAAAAGCTAATTTCTAAGAGAATCCAGTTCCCTACAACTTCTCTTTTATCCTCAAGTTCAAGAAATGCATCATTTGGAAGATACAAGCTCATACATTACAACTTCCAATATAGAGGCAGGACTGGAGAAGTATCCTGGAGGTTCACTGAGGCTACCACAACATCTTGAAAGAGGTTCAAATTCAAAACAAATTGTAGTATCAAGGTAATTCTTCTTGACTATTGAACCTTTCATTTCAATCATAATTAGTGATTCATTTTTAGGATAAATGTAGTAATCATTGTCTTTTGGAGCTAACAATTTACTCTCTTTTGTCAATACTATGTTGAAAAATGACATGTACAATGTTTAGGGCAAAAAAATGCAGCATGAGTCGACAGATACCCATATGAGTCGACTAATTTTAGTGATAGAACATGGTATGAGTCGACACAAAGCCTTATATGTCGATACATACTGTTATCCAGGCCCCAAAACAGAAGGACGAAAGGTGTATGAGTCGACACAAAGCCTTATGTGTCGATACATACTATTATCACAACCCCAAAACAGAAGGATGAAAGGTGCATGAGTCGATACAACACACGTATGTGTCAACACAAACAAGTGCATGAGTCGACACATCCCATTTTACATCGACTCATACTGAGTTAATTTTGTTTTACAGGAGTAAGAAGAGTTGTGTGTCAATGCATAGCAGCATTGTGTCGACACATAATAGTTCAAAATGCAATTTTTATTTCTTTTTACACTGTCTTTACAATTTTCAAACATATTTTCTTCATTACTTTCCAACTATTCAATATGGGTTGATGTTTGGATTTTTTTAAGGATCCAAATTTAGTGTAAAATACCACAAATAAGTCCAGGTTCATGCAAAGACTAAAATGGCAAGAAAATAATACAAAAATGGCATTTTCTTCAAGTTATGATTTTGTATTTAAAACATGATCAAATGCATTGATTATTGCCATATTGGTTCAGTCTCATATCCCTCTATAAATACTAGACCCAAGTGCATGCAAAAGACACGCATACAATGCCTCACCAAAACTCCCAAAATTGAAAAAATCTCTAAGTTGTCAAAATTCAAACAGTAAGTTACAACCACTATCGCTCTAAACCAAGCATCCTATCTTCCTCCTGAGATTCCAAGGAAGGCATTCAGGCCCTTAAGCAAGCATTTCCACGCCCAAAGCCACAGATCCACGCATCTCCGATTGGTAAGGGTTTGCAAAACTAAAACTGTATTTTATGGCATATTAATACTTTTAAATGTTCGATTCATGTTCAGGACCTTCATTAGGATAGGATGGATGCCCCGCATGAGAGGTTTGGAGCCTAGAATGCTAGATGCCATTGTTAGGGAATCCATGGTTGTTAAGGTTCAAGCTCTCGATCCAGGGGTTTTCAAGCCAATCTAAGGCCAAATTTGGAATCAGGGCACACTTTTATGTAGGATAGACCCTTTTGTTTTATCTTAAAGAGTTTGTTTTATAGGAATAAATTTTGAACTGATCAGAGATGGTGACTGGAGTTTGACTCTGACACCGTTGACTACTGCTGACTCCGGTGCCCAGGCGTCACACCCTTATTGGCTCATACAGTCAACGCACGCGTTTTTTAATTCAAATATATGTCTGGCTTGGTTTCACATATATTTCCATTATGTTATTTGTATCAACAATTGACAGGTTGGCTGAGTGGTAAGGAAAGTGTGTGAATTTGGAAAGGGCCTGAGTTCGATACCCAGGTCTTGCATTTTTATTTTTTCTAACATTTGCTTTGCAGATCCCATACTTGCAAGTCACATGCATATACCGTACACCATCAGAACTATGCCATCAGATGCATCTTATTGTAGCAACTAGTTTTTTAATCAGAGTTGCCACTATTAGTTTTTATCCTAGGGAAGGGAATCTAACAGAAAACCTTAATTCACAGACAGAGATTCTAGGTTTCAGACTTCTTTAGACGAAAGGAAGGTGTTAGGAACCTTTCATCTACCTTGTTCACAAGGACACTAGGTTTTAGGTTTGATTTGGGGAAAATATGGTTTTAAATTTAATAGGGGAAAGGGTTTAAATAATTTTATAAGGGAAAGGTTTAATTTTTTTATAAGGGAACTCGCTACGATTTTTGATCTTATGCCTACGTATCCTCTTAAAAGGAATCAGAGTCCCAATTCGTAGTTCATATGGGTTGGTGTCTTTTAGGGGTTTACAAACATATTTTGAATCACTTCGCACTCGGTCGGGAGTAGTGATTGCGGAAATTTTGACTGAGTACGTAGTAAGCCAAAATTAATTTGAAACCCATTTGCGAAAAAGACTGTTGATTAGCTTAGTTTTATTCGCGAAAACAGTTTGAGATTTATTTGTGTTTTTTATTGTGTTAATTGCGAAAAGTCTTGATTAATGCATGATTGAAAAAGATTTAATGCGACATACATGAAAATAACATGTCCATGCGTTTGAATAAAAATTATTTATATGTTAATATAATAATTTTTACATATAATAATTAATAATATATAAAAATTAATAATAATAATTATTATTATAACTATTATAAAAATATCATATAATAGTAATAAGAAAATACAATTAAAATAATTATAAAAATGTAAAATGTAAATAATTACTAGGGGGTGTGCTATTAGTTGATGTGGTGAAGAATTAGTAGTACAAGGCCCAATGGCCCGTACAAACTCTAAAACCCTGATTACTAAATTGATTAACTAAAATTAAACAATAAAAAAATAAAGAAAAATGTATATACATAGTACCAGGGGCGCCTCTCATTCTTGACCAGAGAATTTGCCTCTTCTTTTTGTTATTCTCCAAATGGCGTTTGGTCTATTTACACATCGACACGTGTCTCATAATAAAAATATTAAAAAAACGATAACTCCAAAGGGACATACGAGAACCATCCATATTCTCACTATTTCCAGTATTCAATCTCTCTTCAAGATCCATCCTTCTTCTTCCCTTAATACCTACCGAAATCCGTCAGACATAAAATAAAAGGGATGAAGAACCGGGTTTGAAGGTCAACTGCGGCAGATTTCTTCGTCAGTGATTCACCGGCATTATCTTGCGATGGGTGATGATGATGATGACAACACAGTCAAGTCGGTTGCAAGCATAAACTGTCGGGATTGCACTGCGGATCTGGTGGCCGACCGATCGTATTTTGACGGAGGTTGATGGTCGCGGTTGTCGTAGATGAGCGGAGGCTTGTCGTCAAGTTCGCGGAGTGTGGGAGGGATCAAGTACAATTACGGTTTCCGATTTGGAAACTCTAGTCGTCTCCACCTTTGGGTTTTCAATGGTAAGGATTTGCTTCAAGATCTCTCTGTCTCAAATTTTCTTTTCCAGTTTTCGTCTCTAAACCCGTAAAAAAATCCGCCTTTTTTTTTCTCTTTGGAATCCGCCTTTGCTCTGTTCTTCTGTCAAAAATCACCCCCCCTCTCTCTGTATTCCCTTTATGTATATATAGTTTAGTTCTTTTAGGTTTTTTTAGATTTCAGTTAGAAATTGTTTCGATTTAGGGATTAAGGATTGTAATTGATTGAATATTGAATGTAATTGGATTCATTAAGATATTCTAGATATGGCTTTATTTTAGACTCTTTAGATTGTATCTGTAATGAGCAATTTTTGATTCAATTTGTTAACAAAATTTTCATATTGTGTTAGATGATGGCATTTGATTTGTTTTGTAACCAAATTGACAATGCAAGATTTGATTTTCTCTCCAATTTCTGAGATTCGCTTCCATGTAAATCTAGATTTGTGTTTAATTCAGTATAATTTTTTTCAGATTTGATTTGGTTTCATGTTTTCTCAGATTTGAATTGTTGCTGTTAATGTAACATGCATTGATTTAGTTGTAGTTTGCATAGTAGGTGTTGATTGAAAAAAATGTTCGCAATTTCCTCCTTGATCGAAACAGTAACTGTTAAAAATAACAAACATGCAAAATCTTGGGTGAATTGGTACAATAGTGTTTTTTTGTGATTATTGAGCCCGCTTTACGGCAAACAGTTTGCATTTCTGACAAAAACAATTGGGCCAGCAGCTGATTCTGCCCCACATAGCCCAACTGTCAGCATCTTCACTAAAACCAATACTCTAATAAGTTGGGCTTTTTCACTCTCTGCATTATATATATATATATATATATATATATATATATATATATATATATATATATATATATATATATATATATATATATATATTATATTTTATCCAAACAGAATTTTGCCACACCAGAATCCTCAATAAAAATCAAATTGATTTAATCTCTTTTAAACTTATCAGCAAGTAATACTAATCATGTTTTACATATTGTTTATTACCTATTTTTTTTATTACAACCGCAACAAACAACATCATCTAATGGGCCAAAAAATCTTAATGGGCTTGAATATCTTTTAAAGCAAACAAATTTCAGAAACCAAAGTTACAGCAAAAATGTTTTAGTCTTTTCTTAAAAAAGAAAACATACTGTTTATTTATTTACTTAAGAACAATAAACAATTTTCTTTAATAAAAAATGGAACTTGTCAGCCATTATATTTTTCTTTATGATATGCATTTATTTTTAATAATAAGACCAAAGAGTCTTGCTAATAACACCCTTTTCAAAATCCTTTATTATATACCAAAAAAGATTTAAAATTCTTACTAATAATTTTGCTCCCATATGCCCAAATAGGCTAACTTAGCGACCGTTTAATAACAACTGTTCAATAATTAAGAACTTAATAGTTGCTCGAATAATTGATTTTTGAATTGCATGGGCCCTTGACCAACATATCTCGCGAATGGATTTATGAGTCTTTTCGATTTAGAAAGCCCCGTTAAAATACGTCTCCCTGTTGGATAAAGATGGGTCATCAGATATTGTTGTACCATCTTTAATTAAGCATTTTCTTTATTTCAATCTCGAAAAATATAATCGCCGCGGTAGGACAAATTTGGGGTACGACACTTATCTACATCCAACGCCATGAGCGCACAACCTCATCATGGATCCTCAAAGGCCAGCAGCATCAGATCCAACATCAGCCTGGGCCGTCTTCTAATTTGGGCCTAACAAAATTCAGATCTCACCCCCCTTTTCAGCTTTAACACCAGGCCCATTTTCATTATTGTTTTTTTAATTATTTGTTTCTTTTAATTGTTTTTTAGTTAATCAGCAAATTAATTATAAAATCACAAAAAAATAGATTTAGTCTTTTTTCAATTAAAAAATTATTTTTGTTAATTAATTAATTAATTATTTTAACCTTTTGCTTAAATTAAAATCAAGTAGACTTAGGATTTAATTTTTTTTTCTTTATAATAAAAATACAAAAATTTAGAATTAGGTCCTTATTTTTTACCTTCTTTAGATAATTAGTTTTCTTCCTTTTTCTAGATTAATTATTATTTACTTAAACATTTTCTCAAAATAAAACAAAAATGACAAAAAAAGGATTTCCTTTTTAACTTAGAAATAGTTTAGGGTTTTAGACGTTCGTTCCAATTCACGCGCTTTTATTGCTTTCGTTATCATTTTCATATTAATGTATCTGCTTATGGGATGTAATAGACTATAACTAGGACTTTTACTACTTTATTTTCCCCATGTTTTGGACATGTAATTAATCCCCCTCCCCGAAGCCTTTTAATAGTTTAGGATCTATCTTTCCGCACTTTAAATTCCCGCACACTATTAACTGACTAGATGCATGATAAATATGATTGTATGGCAAGAGATAATAATCAAACGCTAGCAAACCTAACACAAGACAAAATTACTGAAAACAACACAGTCTCACATATACACCTCTAGGGTATCCCTACTTTGGTTGCCTTCGGAAAACAGACATAACTCTCGAAACATGAGAGACTTTAGTGGCTACCCTTCAGTTTAAAGATAAAAAATGACCCTCTCGATGTTGCCTCAGTATGATCTTAAAACCTTAGGGTAGTTACTAAGGTTTCTTGACCAATTTCCTTTGTGACTATACGATGTCCCTTCGAATGTCCCTCAAACATCCAATGACTAGGGCTACCTACTCACTAATAGTAGGATAACAATGTCTAAAGGAAAAGAGGAAAAGAACAACCTTTTCGAGTATAATAGATAGTTCATAGATGTTTGCTCAAAACAAAACAAACTTTTACACGTACACAAAACTCTTTCCAAAAACATTTTTCAAAACACTTTGTATACGTTCTCTACCAATCCGAGAAACATTACAAAGTCCGTCGTACTAAGGCGCTTTCTTTCAAAAACACTTTTCAAACACACAAAACACAAGGTATTTTTTTCAAATGAGCTAGCATCTAAGAGCCCGTAGATAACTACGGATGGAAAGGGTGCTAACACCTTCCCTTTCCATAATCTACCACCCTTACTCAGAAACCAAATCTTGAAAGGTCTTTTCTATTCTTTTCACCCTTTCTTTTGCTGGATAAAAGAAAAGTCGATGGCTACTCTTGCTTACCACGACATTTATGAATACAAATGCAAAACCAGTACAACAGTCAGTTCTGCCACCGTATTACACTTGGTCATACAAAGACACGCTAGGTCTCGATACTGATATTGTGGTTCACTGTGTGCCAATGAAAGAGGGTTATGCTCTAATTAAGAAAAAGGTTCGTCGCATGCGTCCCGAGATGTCAGAGAAGATCAAGGCCGAGGTTATGAAACAATTCGATGTAGGTTTCTTAGCAGTGATTTCATATCCTCAATAGGTTGCTAATGTTGCTCCAGTATCAAAGAAAGATGGCGAGGTACATATGTGTGTAGATTATAGGGATGTGAACAGGGCGAGCCCCAAATATGACTTCCCACTTCCACATATTGATGTTATGGTCGATAACACCGCCCAACACAAGGTATTCTCCTTCATGTATGGTTTCTCGGGTTTTAATCAGATCAAGATGGCGCCTAAAGAAATGGAGAAAACTACCTTCATCACATAATGGGGCACTTTATCTTACAAGATTGTGCATTTTGGGTTGAAGAACGTCGGGGCAACTTATCAGTGTGTCATGGTAGCTTTATTCCATGACATAATTCATCATGAGATAGAGGTCTACATCGATGATATGATAGCAAGATCACAGACTGAAGAAGAACATCTTGATCATCTGCAAAAGTTATTTGAAAGGATGAAGAAGTATAAATTGAGGTTAAATTCGAACAAATGTACCTTTGGGGTAAGGTCTGGTAAACTCCTGGGTTTCGTTGTCAGTGGTAAAGGTATTGAAGTTTATCCTGCAAATGTTAAGGCTATTCAAGAAATGCGGGCTCCCTGTACTGAGAAGGAAGTCAGAGGTTTCTTAGGACGACTGAATTACATTTCCTGATTCATTTCCCATTTGACTGCTACCTGTGAGCCAATCTTCAAGTTGCTGAAGAAAGATCAAGTAGTAAAGTGGAACGACGACTGTCAAATAGCCTTTGATAAAATTAAGGAGTACTTACAAGAACCTCTAATTCTTATGCCACCGGTTGAAGGAAGACCTTTAATCATGTACCTAACAGTGCTAGAGAACTCAATGGGGTGTGTGCTGGGCTAGCATGACGAGTATGGTCGAAAAGAGCATGCAATATACTACCTTAGAAAAAAGTTTACCGACTGTGAAACAAGATATTCACTACTCGAGAAAACTTATTACGCTTTGGAATGGGCTCCTCGCCGACTAAGAAAATATATGTTGACTCATACTACTCTATTGATCTATAAAATGGATCCCATCAAGTACATATTCGAGAAGCCATCTCTCTATGGAAGAATAGCCCGATGGCAAATGATCTTAACAGAATACGACATTCAGTACACCATTCAAAAGGAAATCAAAGGAAGTGTACTGGAAGATCATTTGGCATATCAAGCTGTAGACGACTACCAATCTATGAACTTCAAATTCCAGGATGAGAACATTATGCTAGTTACAGATTACAAAGAACCTGGACCGTATGAAGGACCTGAGTCAAGATCCCGATGGACTATAGT